AAGATCGTGGCCAACAAAACTCCAAAATGATCAATAACCTCCTGGTTGCTTAAGGGACCTTGCTGCTGGTAACTGGCAGTCACTATTACATTTCAGTACAATTACTTGAGACACTTTCTATTTCCCAAAGAGAATAATTTGGTGATACTGAAGTGAAACCAAATGGGAAGGATGACCTTTGAGTAAGATTCAATCTGAATTGTGTTGATCTGTTGTACTGAGCAATTTAATTCCAACTTGCAGCTGTTTAGCTTTGTCTGTGCAAATGGAATTATCAAATTGCAGTACAGAATTAAAATTTGAGGTGATGGAAATTTTCCAGCTATCAGCTTTCAATAGCCGTAACACCAACCAATAAAAAGAAATTGGAGGGAGTCAGTGACAAGAATTAGAATATATCCAAACAAACTGATGAATTCTTGTATAAAAGCCTTTTAAAAATCATGCAATTTATATTTTTAATTTTTGTATAGCAGAACATTTGCCATCGTGGAGTCCTGTAGCTCAGTGGTTAGAGCGCTCGCTTTGCAAGCGAGAGACCTGAGTTCAATTCCAGGCAGGGCGAAACCTTGGGCGAGTTTCCTTACTCCACACGCCTAATAATAATCCCTCCAAAAACAAAAAACAATAATAAATTGGTCATTTTCAATCTACGACTGTTTGTGGGACATTGCTGTGCGCAATTGGCTGCCGCGTTCGCCCACAAATATACAGTCAATTCACTTTACAGTGTATTCTGTGAAGCGCTTTGGGACGTCCTCCCGACGTGAAAAGCGCTATATCAAATGCAAGGATTATTATTATTATTATTATTTTGATTTTTTTATGGCTGCTTACTTTGTTTAAACACTATGATGCTAAATTGTATTTAAGAGATAACAACAACAATAAGCATTGACCCAGGGTAGCATCTCAGAGTGCTTAAAATTTGTGGGATCAGAGATGAGTGCAAAATAGCTGGAGGGTTGTTTTCAACTGTGAGGGGAAGAAGGAAAAGAGGGGACAAGTGGCACTCCACTTTTGCCTTCACTTTGCCAATTTGTGATCTAGCATTATTTGAAAAAGAAAACAAAACTTGGTTCATTGAGAAAAGATTAGAAATGTAATTTCCTCCTCGACAGTTTGTATATAAACTATATAATAAACTATTTCAACAGTCTCTTTTAAAATATACCCAATTTAGATATTCTCCCGGTAATGTCATTTGAAATGAATTGCCCAGATTACAATTCGATATCACCAAGAGAAATAAAACAACTGAACAAAATGTGCAGCTTCTCCAAAGGCTGTTGTCATCTTCAGCACATAAATATATAAAAATAGGGTGAACTGCAGATGAAATAGAAAACCAGTTGCTCAGTGGATGAGTCACTTCATCTACGTCACTTCAGAGAGCAAGCATCTCCTGCAAGGAATAAAAACATTACCTGAAAAGTCAACCAGTGTAAGTTGAGCACCTAACCTTTAAACGTGAAGCAGTTTTAATATAAAAGCTGAGCAGTGGAGCAACTACACAAATAAAATCAGTCATATTAGCAATAGGGCCATAACAAACAATTAACAGAGAACAACTTGAATTTCTCCAAATACACTTGAGGAATTGGGGGATATTGAGGGATAAAGGTGAGTCACCATAAAAATTTTTTTTTCAAGTTTAAGATCCCAAGTTGCTTTAACAAACATTTCACAATTGGTTATCTGCCAAACTTTCAGCACCATGAAAACACCAGCAATATTGTACAGAGGAGGGAGCTGTCGTGGTCAGCTTGACTAATCAGAATAACCTCTCCAGGCCAGCAGTTGAAAGCAAACTCAGCCAATAACCAACAGCTCCATCAGGGCACGTCATAGAAAGGGCAAGCAGCAGCCATTAATTCTGGATGGAGAGCAGGAACAGGCCTGGAAAAGAAAAATGAAGAGAAAACTGCAACGTTTCACACTGAATGGTGGTACCTGTTTGATAAGTAAACATACATGTGAAGTACATTTGCCTGCAGTGTGTGTGTGTGTATGTAAGATGTTTTCTACTAAAATTAGTGCATGTGGATAAATGGTGTCGCAGTAGCCACACCTGTGGCTAGTCAATGATTTCTATCAGACAACACTGATTTAAGGCGCTATTGAACCAAGAAACCAGGAAAAATTCTCTTCTCTGCTTCAATGTTATGCGGCATCCACTAAAGAAAAAGACAAAATTAACAAAAGATAAAATTTACAAAACTTAGATTTAGCCGTTGAAATGGAACTGAAGCAATTACCATAAGATCTTAATTTGTGCAGTGAAACCCGTTTTATATTCTTCCCATTATAGATATGGTACCACACATCCAAGTGTTGATCCGGTCTGTCCGGTGCTCTCTGTGGTATAGCTTTTCCAAATCATCAGGCTGAACAGAATGAAATTACCTTCTTTAGTTACTTCCCGTCCACCCCCATGAATTTTGTACTTACATCGGTGAGGGATCTTTGTGCTGAACAAAAGAACACTTTCCCATTGTCAGCAACAGTATCAACGGCTCTCTGTCAGCGGCAGAGTACAGTTCCAATCATGTGCATCAGACTCAGTTCACACTGCACCCCCTATTGTGACATTTTCCATTCTCCACACCCGCCAACTCATGACCTCTCTGAGTAAGCTTGTCATTGTTTGAGCCACACGACCAGCAGTTTACATGATCTTATGGGACACCCCCCCACCCCTCCATTGACTGGTTCAAAATATCAAGAGACAAGGAGATGCAACTATTATTCAACAAGTATTTTTTAAAAATTGGTGCATTGGAAACTAGATAAGAATGAAAGTAAACAGGAATGAAACTTAAAATGTAAGGAAATAAACGGAATCAGATATATCAGATATGTCCAAGATACATAAATTTCAATGCAATTATATATTTATAAATATGACTTTTTTTTCCTTGGATGTGTGTTTCTTACAGATGGTGACAAGTGTTAGATTTTTGAAAATGTGCGTTTTAGTACAAGATACAAGGGCAATTAAGAGAAAGCAGAGAAACAAATGCAGAATGTAAAATGAATATTTATGCTGATTTCTAATGTGAATTATCTTGACAACGTTGTTGGTCACCCTCAACATAATAATCCTTGCGTTTGCTATAGAGCCATTTCACGTCTTCGAGATGTCTCAAAGCGCTTCACAGAATATACTGTAAAGTGAACTGACCGTATATTTTGTGGGCAAAACGTGGCAGCCAATTGCACACGGCAATGTCCAACAAACAGCCGTGGATTGAGTGACCTTAAGCAAACCTCTACTGACTATAAATTGCTTATTAGCTGAGTGCAGTCAGCAAGAAGTGCACCATCTATGACCAAAGCTGCAACAATCAGCATCAAGAGCATTTCGCTCCATCATTAGAAGTGATTAAGAGTCCTCATGACAAAAGATAGAGATGAGCAAGAAAATGAGACCATAGAAGTTTTAGGATTCTGGAGACTAATTATAGAATGCATGAAAGAAGTTCATTCTATCCTTTCACACTGTACGAAATTCAGTTGTCATTGTAATACCTCACATCCAACTCATGTCATCCTATTTTATATTCCTTATCCTGTCACATTGCCAACAACCACTGCTAAATTTACTGAGTGCAAAGTAATACACCCAGTAACTATATCTGAAACATCACTGGTCACTGTAAGGACAGCACAATAACCAGTTGTAGTGACTTTGTTAAAACTTGTGTAACACAAGGTATAATGTGGATGGTTATGGTCAACTGTTAACCAGCCCTAGCTGCTTCTCTGAATGCAGAACAGAACATGCCAGGGAGTGGAGTCAGACACAGAATAAAATTAGGTGAATTTTGGATTGTAAAGGCAGTGCTCTGAAATATCTTGACACACAGTTGGACACTAAGCCATAAAAAAACCATAAGTAATATAAATTGTGTTCCACATTTGAACTGTGATGAGTTTAAACAAGGGAGTAGTTTTAAACATTGGTGATTTATGAAGTAGAGTGCTGCCATCTTGTGTCAAAAAAGAGGAAAGGACTTTACAATTGGTTATTTTTTTAAGGATATGTTCATTAGTCAATGACAATTGGATATATGCTTATATATCTAATTCACCACATCTATAAGAACAAGTAATTTAAGATTATATCAGCGCAAATGGTGAACAGCAACTGCAAGTCAGAAATTTGAAACATAACTCCTTTCATGCTCGTTTTTTTTAAAAAAAATTCAAAATCAGATTTCCTCAACTCACAATTGAGGTTCAATTGAAGACCCTTCAGCTCATTTGACCATATTTCTCCAGAATACCCACTTTGCCTTTTTCCATCAAGCCATTTTGCTGTTTGTTAAATCAAGTCCTGCACAGTAACTAAAACCTAGCACTTGGTCAGAATGATTTCCATGGATAGGACAGAAATTGGCAGGAAACTGAATTGCATGTGCCCATGTCCTCAAGTACAATAAAAAAATTGTGACAATGCATGAACCAGCAGTTATCGTTTAGATCAGCCTGAAAAATGTGCTTTTAAAAAAATCTGTACTTTTATTTTCATGAGAGATCCATGTCTATCCTTGGAGAGACTCAACCTCGTGAACAGGATGACCCAGTCTTTTGTGCTATGCTATTTTTGGAAGATAAATGGCAAAACTGTGACAAGCAATGAAACCCTGTAAGGAGGACATCACATAAGGATGAAATAAAAAAAAAAGGGCCTTCAACTCCCAACAGTTTTCTAGGAGTGAGACAAGAAAATAGTAATAACTTTGTGCCAGTAAATTGAGGCCAGTGGGAGGGGAGAGAAAGAGAAGGAATTTAAATGTTGGATCAACATTTTGTAATAGTGTATTAAGACAATTGAGGACATTTGCCATTCATCCACTGAACATTATTTTTGAATCCATTCTCCACCCGAAATGAGCCATAAAAAAAAACGTTTTTTGAAGACAAATCAGTATGTTAAAAAAAAGTATTTCAGAAGGAGAAACAAGAACTCACACCATTTTCAACACAAATGTGGGAACTATTTTATAAACAAAAGCAGATTACATATGTACACTTTTTACAGTAGAAAAATTGTCAACTAAAACTCACATTATTTCATTGCATATGAATATTACATTTGGTCTGCCAGTGTGGCAAGAAAATATCCCTGAAATGCTAACTTTTTAAAATATATATATGTATATAAAAGGGGACTTTCTGAGAACACCAAGATTAAGGATTTGGTGAATAGACGTCCCTCGAAAATTTGACTTAATGCATGTGGTCCATTTTGTACCATGTACCTGGAGATTTTGGTTGAAATTTACATCAAGGACTGAGAAATTAAAAATACATTGCATTTTTCATAAATTAGAAAAATGTGCTGCATGATAAGGGGATGGGGTGAAAGCATTTACTACCATAAAACGTATTCTGTGAAGAATTCAATAAGGCGTTTCACTAGAGCTGTCACTCAACAGCTCTTCTGAACAAGTAACCTTTTAAAATGTGTTTTGATTGTGCAGACATGATTCGGATATTTAGAAAAAGAAAGGAGTTTACAAAGACTCATTATCTATAAAATATGGACTCGTGCTCTGTGCAGAATCTATAGAAAAATAGACAAGTACAGATTATTTCTGTACAACTCTGTAGGTTGTAATTTTTCAAGCAACTTTAGTGAAGCACTTTAGATTTTAAAAAATCATTTTAAAAATGTTACTCTGGTGCAAATACCATCTTATTCAATGGAAAATGCAAACTGCAAGAAAATGTAACTTAGCATAATTTGCAGATAATTAGCAGATACAGTGCAGTATATCCAGGTTCTCAGAAAATCCTACAGTATTCAAAGTTTTTCTCCAGAATGCTAGTCTATAAAGCTTTATGGTTGCATCCCTTTTTAAAAAGTGTTAATCCACTTTGTGTTAACCGTGTTATAAAGCACAGTCAATCCACTTTACAATATATTCTGTAATGCACTTTGAGACGTCTCAACAACGTGATAAGATGCTCTATCAAATGCAAAGATTATTATAAATTATTATAAAATAAATAAACCAGTTGACTGTGTTAACATGAATCTCTCAGTTCTTGAACACACGTTAAAAAAATGCTGAAATTGGACACGGGCCCATAATTTTTTTTATAATACTTAATGTGCTCAAATACTTTATAAAATATTTTAAAGGGGTTCCTGGCATTTCTTGTAATGAAGGATTCTCTTCAGGAGATACGTGTATTTGGAATCAAGTTCTAACACATGCATGTGCTCAGTTGCTAGGAATGAACATTTCCAAATCCAACTTCTTATTCAGATGGTGTGAAGCCAAATCAAATATTGTGAGATTTGGGATTTTTTTTAAAGCTGGATCAATGCTCTGGAGTCAGTGTGAATCCTCAGAACTACAGATATCACACTATATCATTGGATGCTTCTGCAGTATATAATGCAAAAAACTGTACTGTATATTGACTATCAATATGGAAAGCAATGTAAAATGCTGGGAGAGAAAAAAAATCACCAGTGGCTAAACAAAGCTGAAACCATATCCCTGAATCAATCCGTATTAGCTACGTTTTGCTGAAGTACCAGATGGGGTGTCTAGTTACTGTAAGGTACTCCATATTATAAGAGATTTAAAACCGGTTTAATCTCATTCTGCAAATTACGCTTTTATTGGGATGATCAAGGTCTGGCAGTACCACCAGAGCAACAAACGGGCTGTGATCCACAACAGCTCATATTGCTGGCTGAAGGATACTGTAGTGGCAAGTAGAAAGCACCGAGTAGAGCTGTTTTTTAAAAAAAGTTATAATGATATATACATTTAAATTCTACATGTATCTGATGGGTGTAAACATTGGAACAATTGGCACCGCTTGCTTTGAATTTCATTTTCAATTTATACAGAATGCAAACATTTGTGAAACACCATTCACTCACACACTTAAAACTCAAACAACATTTACAAAAGGCACCAACCAGTATTTGCTCATTACCTCCATCAATGGAAAACAAAATCTATTAGTGAATTTTAAATCCATCTTTAAAACAAAAACAAGCTAGGACATGTTGTATATATTACAATTCAATTCTAAATTTAACAAAAAATGGCCAGTGCAGAGCAAATAAGTCATAACCTTAATTAGTGGAAAGGATATTCATGCTGTAAACTTTAATAGCTGCCATTGATACTGGAAGAATTGTGCAAAACCATGACAGACTTATTATTGTATAGCAAGAAGTTATGGCATAAAATCTGAATAATTTCTGCAAGTGTTCGGTTTGAATTGAGATAAGGAACTCTGTCCAAATATGCTGAAAATGACCAAGGTAAACTAAAAAGCTTCTGCTATATGGTGTACAACCACCCATGGATTTCAAAGTTTCTGATACACGTGGTACTCCATATTATAAGAGATTTAATTCTGATGCTGAGTTTTTACTGCATTAAGGCTACACTTTCATTTGAGGTTTGCCTCAGCAGTTGGTTCTGAAAACTGAAGTGCACTGGGTGACTGGGATAAGCACCACTGCAAAAAAAAAAAAAAAAACTGAAGATCCCCTTCCCCCACATAAATTAGTAAAAAATAATGTGCATATATAATCCCTGCAGTATAAATGTAATCACTTTAGTTTTTTTAAAAAAAAAGTTCTTTGCTTTAACAATTAATGACTCCATCCCATTAAGTGACTAGCCTTGGCTTTTTCGGTCATCCGTCGCACCCTGCCTGATCTTGACATACCAAGGTTTAGAGGTTCATGAGCTGGTAGGAAACCATCATCATCATCAGAGTCATCATTGTATAAAACTGTCCTTCTACCTTGGTTTCTGGTTGTTATGGTAGACCGTTTATCAAACCGATCAGCACAAAACTCATCCTCAAACCCATAATCATTGTCCAACAATCTTGCCCGTTTATTTCTGTTGATGGTCTTGAAACCTTTGAAGCCTTTTCTCCTTCTTCCTCTTCCTCTGCCTACACCTGTGCTTATTTTTATATTTCCTTTCCCTTTTCTTCTTACTATCTTACTATAATCATGATCTCCTTCAATGCAGTCTTTATTGGAACCAGAACCCAATTCTGACCCACTTTCAGAACTTGTACCAGGTCTTGTCGTTTTGCTGTTCAAGTGTGGAATATCTTCCATCTCCCCACTGTTTCTATTGTCTGAACTACTTTCCTCTGAGTCACTTATAAACTTTCTCTTTGCAGACGTTTGCTCTCCATGACCATTGACGAGAGGACCATTAGAGGATTCATCTGAGAAGGAAAAAAGCAAAACATACAAAATACTTATTTTACCTTTAAAGGGAAGCTAATGGTCAGAGGGAGTAAACTTTTGATTGAATTACTCCCAATTTTAGAATAAAACAGTGAAGAGCCTTCAGATGGACTTTAGAGATTCCATGGCACTATTCAAAAAGAGAAGAGTCTTTCCCCCAATGTCCTTAAGATTGAACAATCAATCCTGAAATTGAAAAAAATGGTAATTGACTTTTTTTTCAATCCCAGGATTGATTGTTCAATCTCAAGGACATTGGGGGAAAGACTTCTCTTTTTGAATAGTGCCACTATTGCGTGCAAATTGGCCGTTGGGTTCGTCTACATATACAGTCACTACGCAGCACTGTAGCTATATCAAATGCAAGGATTATTAAAAATGGCCCCTTACAAGCCTCTAATATCATTTTTAATATTAAACCGGTCACAACATTTTATCCAAAGACTAAATTAGAAACTTCTGTGCAATGTGCATTCTGTTCAATACTGTTTGCAACACACTGCAAACTTCAGAAATAAACACTGAAATCAAAATGTTTAAAGATTTGATGAAAGTTCAATGGATTTAAGTTTATGACGTGTTTGCAGTAAAATGCTTCAATGTTGTATTCATTTTTTACAAACTCTTTCTGAATTTCAGAACAAACCCACACCTACCTCTTTGACTGTGCTTTCTTTTTGGTCATCTTTCCCCTCCCCAGCCCCCAGCCCTTGCTTGGGTGCCCAGCCTGTTCTGCTAAGCGCTTTAAGACATCCTCCCACCATGAAAGGTGCTTGCATAAATGTAAATTTGCATTATAATGCAAATCCAGCCTTTCAAAAATACAATAAAATGTCACCCAAATCACCTAGGTGGACACTGAAGTTTGAGCTGAAGTATGTGAAATGGTGAAGGCTATACAATATGAATTTGTACTGCACTTCATTACCCATTTTGTGTTGAGCAACTTAGTCAGCAATATTATTCAAGGGCATTGTCAAAGATATATTCTTTGCAAACTAACAACCTAGCTTGCAAGTACGTGCAACTAGCACAACCCACTCAGGGCTATTAGTAATACTGCCAGCTTCTAATTTGTTGCAATTGTCACCAGTCAACTGGACTAACATAATCAAACTTTTAATAATAATAATCCTTGCATTTGATATAGCGCTTTCCACATCGGGAGGATGTCCCAAAGCGCTTCACAGAACACTGTAAAGTGAATTGACTGTATATTTGCAGGCGAACGCGGCAGCCAATTGCGCACAGCAATGTCCCACAAACAGTCATGGATTGAAAATGACCAATTTTATTATTGTTTTTGGAGGGATTATTATTAGGCGTGTGGAGCAAGGAAACTTGCCCAAGGTTTCGCCCTGATCTGCCTGGAATTGAACTCAGGTCTCTCGCTTGCAAAGCAAGTGCTCTAACCACTGAGCTACAGGACTCCACAATAAAAATATACAATAAAAATAATCCTTGCATTTGATATAGCACCTTCACATCGTTGTGAAATCTCAAAGTGCTACACAGAATATACTGTAAAGTGAATTGACAGTAGATTTTGTGGGCGTATCAATTACAAAATAAAAATTTGCTTTGTCACCTTGCTTCACTGGTGTAGCTGTGCTCCTGGTTACTCTGGTGCTCCCAGGCTCTGAGTCACTTCCACACTGGCTCTGTGCATCCCACTGAGGGAGTGGCAACAGCTGCTGAGTCTGAACCTCATCAATGAGTAAACCTGAGGGATCATCGGTTTCTGAAGCTGAAAATCAAAATCAGTTAGTGAACTTGCAATTACAAATAGCAACCAGTGGGACTGACGCACCTGGGCTTTAGAAATGCGCACAAATTAATAATCTTTCGTTGAGTTGAGTCAATTGACTGAAAGCTAACTTTGACTAGAATTTGGATTCTCACCTTGAGATGATCTTGATGGGGTGGCTCGAGCTGAACAGGACGGTGAGGTATTCAGTTCTGTTTTAGGTGAAGTCTTTGCTGGCTTGTTCTCTAGGCTGGAGGACAAAAAAAATTGTTCAAATTATATTTCAGGTATAAAAAAAACTTCCCAAGAACCTCTATTATCCATAATAAAGGGACACTCTCCCTCCATTTAGATAAATTGAGGTTCTGCCACAGTTCGGTGGGTGGTTTCTATAGCCATTTCAAGATCTTAATCTCATCTTTTTTGTAATTTTCTGAAACCTCTGCAAATAAAAATATTATTCTGAAAAGTATAATTTTGGTTGTTCGAACTAATGCAAAACCTTTCACACTCTGACACAGTGATGTGAAGTAGCTTTCAAAACTGCCAGTTTTCGAACGTGAAAATTATGCCATTGTTAAATTCCAGTTTGTTTTTCTTGGTACTACCTTGTGGGATCATTGGGGGAAACATCACATTTAAAATGATTCTGATCACTGGTTTCTGATTTTGTTTCTCTTCCCTTCCCCCTCCTCACTTTCACACTCCCAAGAATTGATTGATGAGAAATGAAAGCGTAATTAAGCACCCTAACTCTGCTGTCCAGGTGAATTCCAGCAGCACTCACTACCCCAGCTATTATTGACATCAACCCACTGTAGGTTTAAGTATCTGGATATTTGATACACTGCATGTAAAGGACAACAACAGCTTGCATACGTGTGTGTATATGTATATGTATACACACACACACACCACACGCACATATACACACATATATAATAATCCTTGCATTTGATATAGCGTTTTTCACGTCTTCTGGACTTCTCAAAGCGCTTTGCAGAATAGATTGAAAAATGAATCGACTGTATATCTGTGGGCGAAATGCGGCAGCCAATTGCGCACAACAGTGTCCTACAAACAGTCGTAGATTTAAATGACCAATTCATTATTTTTTTTTGAGGGATTATTATCAGGTGTGTGCAGTGAGGAAACTTGCCCAAGGTTTCACCCTGCCGGGAATCAAACCCAGGACTCCACATATATATTATATAGAACATAAAAATATAGTGCCCTTCATGCAAAAGGTGAGTTTTTGTTAAAGCCCATCATATGTTTAAAAAAAATGATTTTGCCATTGTATCAGAAGCAGGAAGAGAGTCACCAAAGAAACATACTAATCAATTAGCCCTGCAGAAATAAAAACATTGCATCTTAAGAGTATTTGCATTTTGATGTAAAATTAACACATTTCATATTCCCAGTAAATGGAAATGGTTGAATTCAAACTCATGACATGCAAGGCAAAACCTTTTCCCAAAAGTAGCTGAATTATTAATTAAAAACAGAAAATGGGAGTGCTGAACACTGCAGTGTTTCAGAACACGCACAGCAGATTGAACTTATATGCACCAGTCATAGCATTTGTGTTGTAAGTGTCCCTGGTTATTTTTATTCATTATAAAAGTCCTGTAGCTCAGTGGTTAAAACACTCGCCTCGCAAGCGAGAGACCTGGGCTTGATTCCTGGCAGGGCAAAATGTTGGGCAAGTTTCCTTACTCCACATACCTCTATTTACCTAGCAGTAAGTAGGAACCCAGTTGTTGGTCGATTGGCGGATCGCTTTTCTGGGGGGTATAGTTCTTTCAAAAAAAAAAAAATCCATGCCTGTTTGTGGGACACTGGTGTGTGCAATTGGCTGCCGCGTTTCCCCAACAAAATATATGGTCAATTCACTTCACAGTATATTCTGTAAAGCACTTGAGACATCTTGAAGACATAAGGCAGTATATCAAATGCAAGGATTATTATTATTTATTTGTAGAAATGCATATGCTAGCGAGGCACACAGAATATTTAAACTTTTTTTTCTTACCTGGATGCTCTGCTGCTACAGTGTGAGCAGCTCTTACAGTTGGACCGAGAACTGCTCTTGCTGCTGTTACTGCTTTTGCTGCTGTCGCTGCTACTGCTGCTGCTGCTGCTATCACTACTACTATTACTGCTACCACTGCTGCTGCTCCTAAATCGTTTCCTGTACTTTCGCTTCGGTTTATTCTTATTTTGGCACTTCAAGGCTGACTTATAATCAGAGATGATGTTTTTCATTTGCGATTCAAATAAGGCTGATAACCTGAGTGTCATGCTGTATATCTGTAAGAGAAAAGAAAATCGCAGCAAATAAATATCTACAACTTACATTACAGCAAAAAAACACAGGATTTCCAATCTTCAGGATACAAGCAGTCAAAAATGTTTAGATCCAGATAGTGTTAATATAAGCCAGCAGTATTTTCATAAGTACATTTTTGTTTATTTCTTGTGATTAATACATTATCCACTGCAAATAGAACACCATCAAAAAATACTCCCAAGATCACTAAAATTATTTCGGAACAATATAAACAGATCTTATAATTTACGAACAAGAAGCTCATAAAATAAATGAATCAGAAAAATAACTAAACAACGATGTGGATGCTTTTCATAAATTAATCTCCCAGTGTGGAAAGATTAGCAGTAAACATCTTACAAACCTTTCCAAAAGAAAATATTCGCTTTACCCTTAATTTCTTGTTGGGCGTGTAGGCTTTGGAGTTGCTGAAAATTAATTGAACATCTTTGCAGAATTCCATAGGAGTTTTGTAATTTCCCTCTTCAATGGTTTCTTTCACAGTGCCGAAGTCCATTGGAGTATCTATTATATCCCTGTAGTCCTGTGGAGGGAATTGGCGTAAGAAATTCAATATTTGATAATAAGACGTTATTTTTTCTAAAAGACGAGTGCTGTAATTTCTGGTCTAGTTAAGTAATTTCGAGTGAAATCTGCAGTACAATGATCCATCCAATTATACACTAGTAACTGATAACTGATGATCAGGCGACAAACACCTGCTCTTATCAACATAGCAACACAGAAAAGATTAATTGATGAATGCATTCATCCTCAATACTGAAAATAAAAAGTAAATTATTTCATCAGCAATTTAATGAATCATAGTAACGTACTGCTTCAATCACCTTGCAAAGCTCCAATTACTTGGTTTGAACTGGAAGCTAAAAATCTGCACTGGGTTAGGAGTTTGTAAGGTCTACAATGGCACTGCAGTCTACCATCACTGCTAACTGTAGCAGATGCAGCATCAAGCTTTTAATTTCTTTTTACTCCACTTCCAGAGGACTCAAACATTTAAATCAATTTACATACATCACCTCTAATGCAGAACAATGTATTTGCTGCTCATGATACTTTCTCAATGCAAACTGAGTGACCACTTATTAAACATCTTTGTCTTGTTCATAAGCATGATTCCCATCTGCCTATGGCTCACTGTTCAACTCGCCTACAGTACCTTTTTATTAGCAAACACTATATTATAATTATCCTGCATTCTAAAATAATTCCCAAAATAAAGTCATACAGGATATGCAAAGAGGTCCACTGGTTGCCGAAAGGGTTCAGAGTCTTCACACTGAATGAGGAAATTCAGAAATTCTCTGCATTGTTCTTTCCAAGCGTTCACATCAACACACATTGCTGGTCTCTTGTTCAGTTGTCTTGGAAGCCGATGCTAAGATAAAATAAACCAAGAAATTAAACTAAAGTCTAATGTATAATACTAATTTCTACCATAACTACAAAGCAGTTTTAAATTTTATTATTTTTCCCAAAGACCGACCAACACAGAAACATTTGGGAGGGAAAAATAAAAATAAAGCAAATCCCTTCCAACACCACTGAAGTGCTTGTGGTGTGAAGACAAAGATACATCATGAAGAGGTTTCTGATGTGGACTCTTCATTCTGAGGCATGACATTGAATGAAGAGGGAAAAGATCAGATAAGAAATATGCTGGAACATTTAAGAATATTCAGTTTTTATATAAAATGTATATAAATATACATTCCATGTCAAACTGTATATTAGTATCTGGATCAGCAAATGTCTAACAGATTTGTAATAACCAATCTGTGATTACTGCAATGCTTTTACTAGTTCAGAAGTTTAACAAAACATCCCCAATATCTTAGCTAACCCTCCTTTTTTTAAAAAAATGACAAATACTTGGAAGGAATTTTATAAGAAGCATTTATATTCTCACCATTCTGTCTGAAGAAGTTCCAGGAGCATCAGAATCCAAATCTGTTCCAGCTTCCTAATTAAAAATAGTTAATTATAAACATCATTTACACCCATGTGATCTTTTAAGAAATGCATCTTTGTTGACAAATAACATTTACACACATTTTCTGTATGTTAATGCATATTTCAGTTTCGAAATTCTATGTATACCACAAAAAATGCTGCTGACCTCATTGAACGTGTATGGCTTTGGGTTCATGTTAAGCATTCAATTAGTTTCTTAGTACAATAAGACATTTAGCTAATAATTAAATGCAGATTGCAGATATATTCTATTTTACATACGAGGCAGCAAGTTATTTTCCCCTTTTCTTGCAGTTACAACTTTCATTTTCAATTTAAGGTCTTAAAACTCAAGTCCAGCCCACCACACAAACTTTCAGAACAAGTTCCTTGGCTGAAATGACAGCATGGATTAAAGAATACAAAATGACATAATTTGACAAATAATGCAAAGAAGTTAATTATCCAAACTCTTGGGAATATATTTTACCTCATCATCTTCATCACTGCTATGTTCCTCAGTCTTAATTTTATCATACAGCTCCAGTATATTAGTGCAGCTTTGGTCACTAAACAGGAAAAAGGTTAAACCAACCGCAGTATAAATTAGAAAAATTAAACCAACTACAGTATGAATACATTGTGAGTGTCAATGTTTGTTGCAATTATTTGGCATAGTGAGATCACCAACTCACCCAATAAACAGAAGTAACACATCAGTACACATCTTGGCTGACTTCACAATAGGACTGCCAACCTCATTGAAAGTCCTAGCATTGTGTTCAATGTATCTCACTTCCCATATCAGTGCAGAGATTCTCCTAGAATTCAGATAAAAGTTAAATTCATACTTCATTCAAATCTAACACAATGTTTATCATCACTGAAGTGCCAACAGATTTTAAGCAATACGATGCCCACCTATAAAAACGGTTTTCTAATTTCTTGAGGATGGTGTTGAAATCAGTCATATATGAAACCACAGTGCAATACAATGGGTAGGCACAAAGATCCACTGGTGCAGAAAATGGTGCAGCTATTTCTGTAAAACAAATCAATGGTGCCTAATAATGCATACATTATTGCATAAACCAAGAATGGTACTATTTATAAAATATTTGAAGTAAACAATCGCAGAAACAGTATATTTGATCTTTTTCAAACTAAAGAAAAGCTGCAATGTTCTAAAGCAACTCTGAAGGCGCTGGATCATACCAAGTGTAAGTAGTTGATTGACTCCCTGAATAATACGTTCACATTCTTCATCCATACTGCAGGAACCCCATTCACCATCCTGAGGTTTATATAACAAGTTTTTAACTTCCTCTGGATCAACCGGAACACTAGAACCAACTTCATCAGGGTAGGTAGCTGCAAATGACCACACACCAAGTTGAATCAGAGAACCTGTACTAAATGTTGTACTAAGCACATACTTCGTTTTAAAAAAAAGCAAAAGACAAATCAATTAAAAATCAGGTTAAGAAACACTGCCACCTCTAAAGCAAGGTTGTACTTATTAGCAAACTTCCACAACCATGGGTCTCTCCATTAACATTTGAACAAATTTGTATTGATTGATGTCACACAGTAATCTTTGAACAATTTAGTTATTGTATGTATAGGGATACTAAATGTATGCAGAGGAATTACTATTTCTAATACTGAACTATTGGAAATTACTGACGAGTTTTAAAAAAATTAAAGCCATCTTACCATTGTCAGGAATTGGTTCCATGTCCCAGGGACTCATCTTTTCCAACTCACTATTGTCCCAGCTAGAAAGAACATATCAAATTTAGCTTTAAAAAGGATAAGAGATACAAAGATCTGTCAAAAAGCATAAGACACAAAGAGTGAAATTTGCAGTTATTGGCTAAAGGCACTCCAAATAGCAGTCTATTATCAGGCAAGCAAGTATTCATTTTAAATCAAACTCTAAATGTGTCCAATGCATTTTTCAAGTATGGTGTTCCCAAATCTTCACCTGATGCTTTCTCCCACTTTTAGTAAATGAAACAAGAGGGACTCCATTGCTACTTAAAAACAGTTGCTGGCACACCAAGAGCTTCTGGTATGAAGGCACATAAGTCAACCACACCTCTGGTACACCACAGGTTCACTGTACATCCATACTCTTCAAGAACAAAGGACAAAAATAATGCTACATTATTACTATTGTGTATATATTTCTTCCAGATCCCCTTTTAATTGCCTAGCATCATATCACCTGCCCACTGCTGAGACCATGAGTTCCAATAGATACAGTTGCTCTGAATCACAATCATTTATCTCAGAAACTAACACATATAGAGACGAGAGAGAGAATCCAGTGTCTTTTAGACCAAGAGAAAACTGCATTTTTCTTTCTCTGCAGTACTGAGTGGACGTCGAATTAAAATGATTCCTTGGTTTATGGTGTGAATGTTCTGAACCCATCTCATTTCACCACATTCCGTACTCTGTTTAAATCAAAGAATTCTTAATAGTGGTATTATAGATAACAGAAAGAAAATAAGTGTCTTACCAGACATTGTAACACTGGAATAAACTGTCAGGATATTCGGGCTGAAAGGGATGCTGGGTCTCCACTGAACCAAACCACCAGGCATCGTCTATTATACTGCGGAATCTGTCCCCTGGTAAGGTAACAGTCAAGTTGAAATATTCTACTCCTAAGGAATACTTAATAATGATTGCAATCTAATGTTCACCTGAATGCGCATCTCTGTGATAGGACAAAGAAGTTCTTTGTCAAGGAGAACTCAAAAGATTTAGTAAGAATCTAACAAACTGGTGCCGTGCTCAGACAGAATTATACTTATGTATCGAGACAAGTCTGTAGTGAATGCATTACTTGATTTACAATCATTCTGAGGGGAACAAAATGAAGCAGCGCAGGTTTATTTGCATGCAGGAAAAGCAGAAGATAAGAATCCTTGCATTTGAGATGATCACAATAAGGAATTCAAAATAGTTCAGCAAAAATTAAGAAGCAATAATAAAAATTAGGCTTATGTTTCCCATGAATGTTCAGCAATTTTCCAAGTTTGAAGCTTGGTTACTGCCTTATGTATAGTTCTTTTGTTTCAATTTCACCACTCTGTAGCAGAGCTTTAACTATGATATTGGGAGACAGATTATGTGCAAAGTGTTTGAAACTCAAAGTGAACATTTGTCTCAGATCCCATTATACTAAGTTTAATTATTCCCATTAGAAACTAAGGTTTGATCTTAAGTAATATAATTCTCCTCCTAAAAAGAAATATTAAGAAGAAAATTCATCAAAATGTAACGACAACAATCTGAGTAAACTGAAATCTTAAAAACCAAAAAGATTCCTGCAGCTACTAGCACGTTTGAGACAGGTGATAAAGGTTATATAGCAAAACATGACATTTCAGCTATTTTTGGCTGGCAAATTCAGTGACAACAGCAATAACCCAATCCACACATGGATCCTCGTATAGATAGCCATACAATCTTAAATTAAGAAAAACATAGGTACCAAGCAAAACTCACCAACTTGCCAATTTCTGTTTTTTGCTTCATCGTAAAACTGACGCAACACTAAGAAATCGATGACATCTGGCATATCATGATACCTGAGAAATGAAGAAAATATTAGGTACAGTGGCACTGGCAAGTATCACCATTACAAGGTTTGAGCATTCACATATTCAGTTTAAAAAAGAAGTTTTAAAGATTAAAAATCAAACTAAGTTTTAAGTTGGGTCTCTGGGGAAACAAGTTGAAACACCTGTACCAGAACAGCAATTTTATGCAACAAGTGCTAAACAAATGTATAATTCTGCAAGAGTACTAAATAAAACACATGTAATAATGTGTTTTAGATTATTTAGTCAAAAACAAATTAGCTATCCTATTAAAAGAAGTTTAAATTCTGAGTTGCATGCGATTACTTCCAAACAAACTCTTCAGTGGCTGGTTGTATGCCGCTTTATCGTGTTGAAACAGCCTTTTTTTTGTACCTTATTTCTACCTCCAATCAATATATCCCCATGTTTGAGATTAGGAACATAAGAGTATGAACGTTTCACTCTGTGACTCAATGCTATTGAACCTTCTCTGGCCCGCCCCTCCAGCTTCTCTCTCAAAAACAATTATGGATACCAATTTACATAAAATGATAATTCCACAAACTCTTTACTTCTGAACCAGGTATGCTGCTAAAATAAACAAAGCTAAAGGTTCTGTTTACAAGTAAACAATTGAAGTTTAGCATTCTCACTTCACCAGGACAAATGTGCACTTTTGAGCTATGGTGAAATTATTAGAAAATTACTTACTTAATAGAGAAAGATTCTCCACTCATTTTGCCAGTGATGGGGTCTAAAAGAGAAAGCTTCAGACAGCATAATGTAGGTGGCCCAATTTCATACTTGATTCCAATAACTTTCACAAATTCCTGCTCCTATTTTTAGGAATAGAAAGTAAAAAAGTATTCAGACGTGAAAATGTAACATTTGATTGCAGCATTAAAAATGGATACAAGGTTTATAATTTTCAACGTAAAACATGGCAGAAATTGTAATGTGGTCGTTATATTATCAAAACTTCTAATTTATTTTAAGCTTTCTGTTGTATTTTAGTATTCAATAGTTCAGGGAACTTGAATCCAAATATCACAGGCTGTACGTTTGACACAATGTACTGCTTTCTGCTGCCTGAGAGTTGGTATATTACACCTATAATTGTAACTTGCTCAACATAAGTTCTGTACTATATACGACTGTGGAGCGCTAGATTACTAGTTTGGTGGGAATTAAATGGAATACTCTCCTAAAATAACTTACCACAACAATCAATCAAAACTTCCCAAATACTTCTTTTTAAATGAGTAGTTACTGCAACCTTTAGAGTCAAACTTATACTAACATTTGAAGCCCATATCAAAACTGGCATGTGTGCTCCACTCAGTCAATCAGAAACGATAGATTTCCCACATTCCTGCCAACGAACAAGTTGTGTTGGCATAAGAGAAGGTGGTTGGGAAGGTGAAACATGTAGGTAATGGTATCTGGAATATATGAATACTTAAATTTCATTTTGTATGTGTAGATGATAATTTAATAATTTACTCAAAACGCTACACTTTCACCCAAAACATTTGATAAGTAATAGTGCTCTGCACTTTAAAGTTTAAGTGCATTATTTTCATGAAACGGAGTCAAGGATTGGTTTGGCAAAAATTGTGATAGATATTTGTTGTGAAATGTACTTTTCTTAGCACGAAAAATACACTTCTACCTAACCCTAAACTTCTAAAAATCAAGCAAACTAACCCATAATTTTAAACATTATGTTTGGATTCCGCAAGGCTAAAGAAGTAGAACAGTTCTATTTTGTTAGCCATACACGGTTCAGTTTTAAAGCTCTAAAAAAAAAGAATTCTACCCATTACCAACATTCCTATTGATGTCAATGGTTGCAACTGGAGAAGTTGAACATAAAATATCTGGTCTGACGTGACCTCTTACCAACTGTTCTAAGACATAAAGCAGAGTAACAAGATGTAAAGGAGTCACCAATATACAATATATGTAGGACCAAGGAACATGTAGAAGAATGGGCTTGCCCTATAAACAACCATACATACCCTGAGTTCCATTTTGTTCCATGGTTGCTTCTGAAGGTGTACACTGTAAATTTTTGCTTTTTTAACTGCTTTAATATATGCTTCATGCCCTTGACGAAAATACACAGCCTACAAACAATAGATAATTTTCAGTTAATGTCTTGTAAAGGAAGCCATTTTCTATCCAACTGTCATATTGATCAAAAACATTTTGTTGTGAACTGTGGTGAAAACTCAGATATGTGTTTAGCTTCCCTCAATGGTTCAGTTGATTAAAAAAAAAACTACTCCATTGAGCTATATAAACCCAAAGGTCTCAGCTAAATTTTGGGGCAAAATAATAGATCAATAATAATAATAAAAAATAGAAGTAGGCACAGGACTGCACCCAAAGACTCTCCATAATCGTCTGGATTCAAATAAAATTGCTAAAGTCCTAATGGTAAGTGCCTGCAGAGCTTGACTCAGCAAGTCAACACAGTAATTTGGTTGCATAGAAGAAAACATTTCTTCTGATGGGACAATTCTGAAGAATAGTATTTCAGGAAACTCCTGCAAGAACTCTCAATTCTAAAAGCAAACATCTGGAATTATGTGCCTCAAAAGAAAAACTCACCTCATCCCCCATCTGAGGGACAAACGGAGACCTACGGGGTACTGCATCTCGGATCCAAGCTGGGGGTATCCACTCCTCAGCTGGCTCACCCTCCACTGCACGGAGCTCACTTGGCTTCTGCAGATGATCATAATTCACATCAAATTTTACCTGTAATATCTTAGTTGCTGAGCTGCTAGTCTTTGTTTGAAATGTTATGCATTTCTATATATCTAAATATTTCCAGTACAAAACAGAAAATTTAAGCTCCTATTAAATGTTCAACACAAGCTGCTTAATTGAGATGGACAAGTCACTGTCAATCATGGAAAAACAAAGATCTGATGACCAAAAAGTATATCAGTGAACTCCTCCAAACTTATGCAAGTAGTATCTTTATTTACCTTTTGTTTTGATTGTTTGGGCTTCTTGCGTTTTACAGGTAATCTTCCTTCCATTTTCTCATCCTCCGAGCTGCTGCTGATGTGCCGTACGGCTCGCCTCACTAATCGCTTGGGTGGTTGGAGGTTAATACCAGCATCAGTTGTCCAATCCGAGTACTCACTTGAAGAGTCACTGTATGTAAACAAAAAAAAAGGAATATTTTTAGTTTAAAACATTCTATCAACATTTAGAAAACCAACAGAAGTTTGCAATTAGTTATCCAATACCTTGCAAATTATGTTTGTATTGGATCACCAAATGTCCTATCAAAACTAAAATAGTTTTTATTTGAACGAAACAGATTACGTTTAGTAGCTACTTTGGGATTTTAACCAACCAATGTTAACAAATTCTGATGAACCATATTTAAAACAATCTTATTTCAGAAGAGTAGGGAACATTTCTATATTAAAAAAAATTAAACCCAAATCTACACCGTAGCCAGAAAACTGTGTAGGTCAGTTAGGCTTTGCGTAAATAAAAATGACAAATAAAATGTAACTAAATGGTTACATTTCAGATTTTTACTTATTGAAGTTATATTTACCTTGAAGTGCTTTCACTCTGCCACTCTTCTTCAGCCTCATCAGAGGACCCATCACTTCCATCTACTGTCTCAATTTCCTGTTTGCATAAAAACAAAAGACCTTCTGATTTTCAAAACTGGCCCATAGTTTGAGGTTTAGTTTTGTTTTAAACAAAAGCACAAATGACGTGACAGTATAAAAAAGAAATGTTGATTTGAAGCAGCAACTTGTCTTTTCAAGTTGTTGTAATTAAACAGATTTCTTTCCTTAACATTGCGTAAAACAGATGAGCTGCCAAGTGATTCACATCTGAAAAATGGAATTTAAAAATGCCCAGAAGCTCATTAAGTCTGGCTGAATCAGACTGGTATTACAAAGAACTTTTGTGAAACTACAGATACTAGAGCTAAAACGTAAGGAAACGGCAAACAATTGGCGGTGAATCATACTCAGTAAGACATGTAAATCGGATAAAAGAATTTACCAGTCACGTTAAAATCTTCATTCTACTGACCTCTGAAGAATTATTAGTTTCTTCCAGTCGCCGGGTAATTCGAAGACGCCGTACTACAGTTGATCTGGTTTGGTACGAATGTTGGTTTCGGCGTTGAGCCCGCCTCCCTGAGCGTTGAAAATAATCCTGGCCATCGATCTGCAAAGGAGACAATATTCAAGGTTATATTTTCTCCTGCTAACAATATAAATAAATGATACACTCCTTATGTTCTATACATGCCTGTTCTCAAACACAGCTACCTTGTCTGGTCATTCCCAATTATCTGATCATCTTAATGTCACATACACATTTGTTTCCTATCAAAATACTATAATGCACAAATCCTAGAATAATCATACTGCCCATGATCTGTGCTTTAGCAACAGTGAAGATTAAGAATAAAAACAGGTTGACAGAAGACCACAAAGATTTGCGTTTTTTTTCTTTTGTAAAAGTGTAAGTCAATTTATCAGCACTGGGATTACATTACAACTTTTGTTATGACCATTTCAGAAAGATCAACATTTAAAGCTAGAAACTCAGCCAACCTCATATCTCCAGACAAGCAACATAGGATGCCGGAGACATGTGGACATTGAAGTTGTCAGAACTTTGAAGAAAACAAGTTTTTACGCCACCGCTGACCACAAGCCTCTCTTTACCTTCTGTGTTGGTTGCTGTGGTTTGCGTTTCTTTTCTGTTGTATACAGATTAATTTCTGACTCGCCTTTAGAAAATCGCAGCTCTTCCTGAAATCTGAGAGGAAAATTTTATTAGTCACTATTATGCACTATGCAGGTTGAATTTACAAATCATATTTGTTTCTACAATGATCAAAGAGATAAGGAAAGACTATTCAACTAGTTCTTTAAGGAAATTTATGTTTATTTGAAAGAAACATTATACTCTTCTTGAACTTTTTAATGCATCATCTGTTTAGGATCATTGCAACAGGTAACATATAATCAAATCTTTATTCAGGAATACTTTAATATCTACAATTTGTACAAGAATGAGCTTTATTATGGAGAAAAGGAGAATAAAGCTTTTATTTGAATACAACTATTCCTACAAAATTATTATTCTAGAATGAAATTACCTTCATCCAATATCTTCAAAACCCTCCAACATCATCTCCACCGCAGTGACCTGATGACCAAGATGTATTACAGTGTGCTAAAAGCCAGCTGGTGTTTTGAGGTAAGCTAACCAGCTTTCTACACACTTCGGATTTTATGGTAGGTAAATGTTGGGGTCAACTGCTACAAACATTTAACTTCCACAAACATTCTAATGAAGTACATGATAAGAGTATACACCTGGAATTCTACTGTATACACCTATTAGGATCTTCTTCCAAAATAGGGAAGTTATTTCCCAGTTAATACACCGGAAAGATACACTTGGGGAGAATTACTTGATTGACAGGTATTTTGAATGTTATTGTAACAGTCCCATTTCTCCCTCTTGGAGCTGTGTACAATCTTTTCTGGGCATTTACAACTCTTTACTGAAAAGCAAACCACATACTGCCACAAAGAATACGTGTGCAACTAAAGGCCTTAAACCAAACTGAAGTACACATACTTTGGGTGTCAGCCTGGCTCAGTTGATAGCACTCTTGCCTCTGAGTCAGAAGGTTGTGGGTTCAAGCCCCATGTTGGGACTGTGAATTCATAATTCAGGCTGACACTCCAGTGCAGTGCTGGGGGTTTGTTGCATCGTTGGACGTGCCGTCCTTCGGATGAGACGTTAAACCGAGGTCCCGTCTGCCTGTTCAGGTGGATGTTAAAGATCCCATGGCACTATTCAAAAAGAGAAGGGAGTTTCTCCCAGTGTCGTGGCCAACAATTCTCCCAAATAAAATTGGTCATTCACTTCATGGCTGTTGTGGGACATTGCTATGCGCAAATTGGCAATTAAATTGGCCTACAAAATACACAATATATCCTGTGAGGCGCTTTAAGACTTCCGCCCGACGTGAAAAGACGCTATAAAATGTAAGTATTATTATATTATCACTGCTACTTAAGGTTAGTCCATTTGTTGGGCACATCACTTCTAAAATGTACAATGGCAATGATGTTCAAGACCACATTGATAAATTGCACTAAACAAAATTAAACGGAAAGCTATTTATGCTCTTATATGAATCTTGATAAGCAATTCGTACCTGCTAATTCTTAAGGGAAGTTCCATGACCACAACCCTTCTGCTCCAAGCCATCAAATCCCTTTCTGTAGCCATCTGACTCCTAGGGGCATTATTATGCATTTGTCGAACACCTTCAATCTGTCCACTCCGTCGAAGCCCAACATTTGGTGGAGAAAGCACATCTAAGTTTGGATTCCGCAAGGCTAAAGAAGTAGAACAGTTCTATTTTAAATATAGTTTCAGAAACTATACCAAAATCAGCTACATATAGCTACAGAAGCAAATCACAATGAAGCAGCCAAAAATTCACATTTAATCATCAAGCAAAATATCTTGGGGGGGGGGATTTAAAATACCTCAAGATATTATAACTCCTCTGATCTTTTAACCAAAAGCATCGGTTCTGAAAGCACCCAAGGCAACACAAGGTTTGCTGTGCAGGAAAATGTGGTTGTATCTGAAATTCCCTTCCTCACTCCCTTCACCTTGCCCCCTCTCTTCCAATTTTCAGGTCTCTGCTTAAGACCTTTCTCTTCGACCACGCCTTTGGTCACCTTCCTCCCCCTCCCCGTCTTGGCCCCAGGATCTGTTACTTTGAAGCACTCTGAGATGCTATCTGGTGTGGAGGGCGCTGTATAAGTCCAAGTTGTTGTTATTGTAGTAACAGTCTCATTTAAGTCACATCTACCCAGACCACTGGATGAATACCTGGGACATTCTTGCATTGTTGAGCTTGAATGTAAATCTAACCTTTTGAGGTGTATGGTCATGCAAGGCATTTATAGTTGACAGGTTAGGTCCAGTTATCTGGAACTGATTAGCTGTGGAAAGCAGTTCCTGCATTGCGTTATGTTCTGATTTTTTGATTACCAAAAAAAGTCTTCACAATAAACACAAAGAATCAAGCATTTTCAAGCAAACAGGATGCTAACACTAATCCTGAGCTCGATACCCTCAGCATTGAATCTTAAGTAATTCCTGTGGGTTTTCATATCCTGCAGCGTCATACACGAGGTCTATGGTTAGGCATTCTCCTGATGTACTGCCTCCATTATGCAGCAACATTACAATCTTGAAAGCATTCGAGTTCAAACAACTGTTTTCAAAATCAGGCATTAGACAATCTTCTCTTAGATCTTTGAAGCAGATCAATACAGACCATTATTTCTGTCCTCAATCCAAGATTATGAGTTTACTAACTTTTTATAAACATGGGTTTATTAACTTCCCTTTCTGTGAAAGGACCAGTATAACTGCACCGTTGAGACAAGGTCATTGACTACACCAAAAACTGGCTAAAAATAGGAGCGCTGATTCTCTCCCCCACCCCCCCACCCCACTTTTGCGGCTACAAAATTACCCACCACTGTTCCCTGAATTTGATCTGCTGTATGGAGCATTCTGTTGAGCCGCTCTGTCATTTCCCTGCCTCAGGTCATGTTCTCGCTGGAGCTCCCTAATGACGTCATCAAGAACACTGGGTTCCTGTCCGTTCTCGTACTGATCATCCGTCTGTTGGCTAATGACTTGTTCCACAACTTCACCATCCCCTAGGAAAAGACACAAATTGACTTAATGACAGACAGTTCCATTTCAGAAATCCTATCCCCTCATCATCCAAGTGGAGTCCTGTAGCTCAGTGGTTAGAGCACTCGCTTTGCAAGCGAGAGACCTGAGTTCAATTCCAGGCAGGGCAAAACCTTGGGCAAGTTTCCTTACTCCACACGCCTAATAATAATCCCTCCAAAACCAAAAACAATAATAAAAAATTGGTCATTTTCAATCTCGACTGTTTGTGGGACATTGCTGTGCGCAATTGGCTGCCGCATTCGCCCACAAATATACAGTCAATTCACTTTACAGTGTGTTCTGTGAAGCGCTTTGGGACGTCCTCCCGACGTGAAAAGCGTTATATCAAATGCAAGGATTATTATTATTAAATGCGAAGCAATTAAGGAATTAATGCTATAATACAGATGTTGGCTTTGTAAGTACGAATGTTGAAGTGAAATACAGCTCCATTAATGGATGTCTTACACTAGATTGAAATGAAAAAGTGTATTGCAAATATTGCAAGCCCATTTCATTAAGAAAATTAATTCTATTGTCCATTACTTTTGATAACTGAAAGATACAAAATGTTGAGGTAGCAACTTTAATCCCAAGCGGTCTAAATTTCAAAAGGACTCAAAAAAAGTTTACATTTATCAGCAACATACCACAGTACACTGCTATTCTTCCTGTGTTCCAAGCGCTCCGAGACACCGTCTGGAGTGAAGGGCGCTATATAAATGCAAGTTGTTGTGTAAAACTTTATAGTTACACTTCTATGTAGAAACAAATCACTACAGGATGTCTCACACTTGTTCAGTACTTCAATATAATTTTCTCAAAACCTTCTGGCAGGTACAACTCACCATTTGCCATGTAACCCAATTGTGGAACGAGCTGCTCATCCATGCAATTTTCGCGACCAGGCACCAGTCGTTGGTATCGCGTTGGATGGGGGTTTCCGTCCACATCAACAAGAAATGGAGGAGGCATGAGATGTGGCGCCTGCTGAGTCTGCTCATCCAGCACATAATTGTTGACATCACGGATAAGAGGACGGTAATCGGTGTGGAAAAACATTTGGTCTGGAATCTGGTAGACAAAATTATTTTATTTGCACCTAAGTTTACAGCAGGTCTTAATTCTACATCGTCTTTGCACACGTTCCCATTTTAATTCTTAAAACAAAAACTAGTACAATAAATAAGTTAATCACATCCAGTAGTAAAATGGATTTAAATTTCCAGGCCAATATTTTATAGTCCATTTTCAGTTAGTCATTTGTGGCATAAAATTCAGATCCAAGCCAATAAAATCAATTTTCCCTCTCCCCACCAATTTTTTTTCCATTTCATCTCTCCTGAAAGTGTTGCATACATCTTTTCCTTTTACTGGATGGTCGCTGCATATTATGCTGAGATCAGCACCTCAAGAGCGTGAGAATCAAATGCGAAATCTACACATCTGCACAAATCAGCTTTTTCGGAAGAAACTGGATGAACCATCAAGACGACAAAATGACCGTACATCATTTTACACAATTTTAAAATTCAACTGTAAGACAATACAGGTTTCAATAGGCTAAGGATTCACTACAATCCTAATTTCCTCCCAACTTTCAACCTACTTTAAAGGTCAAAGTCAGCTATTTTCGCCCACAAAATAATAAGTCTATTCATTTTACAGTATGTCTTGTGAAGTGCTTTGAGACATCTCAATGACGTGATTGCAAGGATTAATATTACTAGTTAGAAATATCTTGCTAGTTGCTAAGAAACTAAACCAGATAATTAATGGAAACCTATCCTGCCTTTACCTAACTATTTTATCAGTCCGTAAATATGATACAGAATCAATGTCAATTGTTTATTATAAAAGAAGATAATACTCAAAATAACAGATTTGTTGCTCAAAAAGTGAGCAACTTTTGTAGAATGTGTGCAAATAACAAGATTATATTTGTATAGCGCCTTTCACGTCGGGAGGACGTCCCAAGGTGCTGGACAGTGTACAACATTCAGTGGATTCAGTGGGGGGGGGAGGAGAAAAGAAGGGAGGGGAGGTGGGGTGAACGGTGCCATGGTCGAAGAGAATGATTTTGAGTCGAGACTTGATGGAGGCTAAGGAAGCAGCGAGGCGGAGTGATTGGGGGATGGAATTTCAGAGGTTGGGGGCAGAGTGGCTGAAGGCTCTCCCACCAATGGTGGTGCGGAGGACGTGGAGCAGGCCAGAGCCATATGAGCGGACGTTGCGGGCGGTTTAGTAGGGGGTTAGGAGGTCAGAGATAGAGTGGGGTGAGTCCAATGCACCTTATAACACCCTACCTTTTCATATGGCTTATTGCAACCAAACCCGAATATAAGTAGATGTCCATGAGAGTCGGTGCATGCAAAATGCTGTCCATCTGGAGAGAACTTACAATCAAACACAGCACCATGACCCTGACCTTCAATCTGTAGATATTAAAGAAAAATCTCTGAATGACTTTGGTGATTGGATGCAATTTTACATTTTTAATACAAAATATAACTAATAATTCTCAGCCCAATTACTCAAAATTGTTATCCTAATAGAAGATGTCACTGTGTGAAATGGTTACATTAAAATAAAGACTCCTCTATCAGTTTACTATACACAAACCAAGTGAAATGTGCAGATTCAACCTGGTTTCTAGTGGGCCTGAGGCAACAGCACAGAAACAAACCACAGCTAGAATGGGCATTCTGAGACCACAGGAGTAGATGATGTGAGAAATGGAAAACGAACCAAACCAGTTTAATCTAACAACAAAAGAATCTGCAAAGCTTCATATTGCTCCCAAAGATAAATCAAGCAAAGCTCCAGACTATGTAACTTTATAATTCATCCTTGGCCAGTGCTTTGCTTGCCATAGTTCACAGCTCAAGAAACTCAGGAACAATCATGTTTGATAGAGCTTTTCATGATTTTCATCATTAGAACTCTCAAACCTAGTTCCAACTATTTATTCATATTTTAAAGACATTCGTTAAATAGCATTCACTCATTTGTCGAGGGTACATTTGGTGCAACTACTCCTTTGAGGAAAATAAATTGTTAGAAGCCTCAAACAAAATTTGAGTTTGTTAAAGGAGAAATAGCAATTGCTAAAGTGTGGAGGGTCGATGCCTACAAGTAAGTATAATTTATCATTAACAAAGGATTCTTCCTTTGATACAATCTCTCCCTCCAGATTTTATTTCCCAATTGCATCCCCTCATCCTATTCTCAGTCGAAGTTAAATAACTTATCATATATTTAATCCACTACTCAGTAATGTATATTTTTAAATTTACAATATGCCCGCAAACGAGTTCTATTTTACAAGCCTCCATGCAAATTGGAGCCTAAGTCCCAGAATCGCCCTCCTCAGAATTCCTCTGAATCGTCATACAGTTAAACTGGGGAAATGGCACATTGCATTAACTGCTACTTTTTTTATTACTATGAACAATCATTCTAATTTTGTAGCAAAAATATTGTTTGGGAGCCACTTTATGCAATGTCTTCAATTACTGTACACAAAACAGCATACAGTTTCTTTAACAGAGCAGAAAAAAAATATACAACTAAAGAATACAGCTTACCATGTTGAAATAGTTGCGAATCTTGGTACCTTTTGAAAGGTCCCAAATGAATATGTTGCCATCATGTCCCGCGGACAACATAATCCTGGAGTCAAACGGATGAGCTTCCAGAACAAACACTTCATCATCATGACCCTGTGGGAGAACAGGAGAAAAAGCCAACACATTCATATACAAGGTACAATGATTGGTATAAACTCACGGTATCTCCCAAGGCACATCTAACTGTGTCAAATATAGCAGAGACCCAGTGGGTTGACAGAAGGTACCCTTATCCTTGCTACTCAAACAAACATTCTCTGATCATGTTGGTATATCTGACCACAGAAACAACTTCAGTAGTACCCCACCACATACTGTGAGTTATCAAACTTTGGCTCTTGTCAACCTGTGATTAATACTCTCTGGAATTAGGTAGGCAACCTACATCCATCCAGGGAGAGCATGTGCATTTTCCATTCCAGACACAGTAAAATTTCCATGTGTATGTAGCATACATAGACATGTGGAACTCTCAGTCTTGTTTGGATAATTTTAAGTTATGGATTTCTACATGTCAAACACCCCGTTGACCAAAAAGTCTGATTCGATCAAACAAATTGCTAATGATTGGCAGTTAGCATATTCAGTTCAGAAAAGTAGTGACCATAGTGTTATTGACACCTACTGGTAGGATATGAAGAAGCTGTCCAGTGCAGGAATTCCATACTTTCAAGTGAAAATTATTAACTGCTGTGATGACTACACTGTCACATCGATCCCATGCTACCATAGTTACTTTCAACTTAGTGACTTTGTCTTCCACTGAAGCTGGGTTGTTCCTACAAGAAGAAAAATTACACATGTCACCAAAGGACTATCTGTAGAAGATAAACTGGTCACATTACATTACTCCCTGGGAATAAGTCAGCAAGACCTGCCTTCTTATAGTTATCTCTGATGTGGAAGTGAAATGAGAAACCACTATGTGGTCATCTAAGCTTATTGATTAGACACAATATTGTAATTTAGATAAATTTCTAAATTTTAGATTTTTTTTTGCAAGTTTCAAACAAGTATTTGGAGGTTTTTGTTTAATATAACTTTCCCTAAAAAGTTGACGTAAGAATTCTGAGCACTCATAAGAGTTGATATGATCAGCTGGCACTTACCCCGGTAATTTAGTAAACATATCAAGAACAATGCTCTTCCATTCCTGCTGCTGGTACTGCCAGATTCTAGCCGTCCCATCTCTACTACCACTAACGAACCTTAAACTAGCCAGGACCGGGGCAGGGGAAGAAAGGGATAAAGGATTTTGTTTAAATCAGCAAATGAAATGACTCAACATCCAGAAGGGCAGTTAATCCATTGCAAACAACTGTATACAACACGACCAAACAAGATACAAGATAATAGGTGTTAACTTCGCCTGATTGCTAAAATGCAGTATTAATACTTTCAGTATGTCTTTATGATGAGATTTTTTTATTTTAGTGATCAGTATAGATTCTAATATGCATCCTAAAGCTTTACTTCCTTACTCAAAACAGTAACTTACAGTAACCTTGATACTTCAAGCTATTTCCCACACCTCAGGAATTAGATCAAACAAAATTCAATAACTTACTTTTACAAAGCACCCTTTACATAAAAGAAAAATCTCTCAAAGCACTTTACTGAATTAGAACAATTAGAAACAAAGTAAGCGCTCAGGGAAATTCAAACCGATGCAGCAAATAATGACAGGCTATTGAACTTCATGGAACATATTGTTTAATCTCCAGAGGAGAGTTCTGCAATGTCTATGCAGCACTCAAAGGCAAACTACAGATGATCTACCGTCACGTAGTTTAAGAAAGCCTTATAACTGAGGGAAAACAAAGATACCTATGATTGTTGTTGCAGAACTGAATAGCAACCACTTTATCCTGAAAGGAAGAAAACAAAATCAGTTATTTTCCCACTTAATATACATAACTGATATATTTTAGCCACATTCATCTTATTCAATTTTTAGATATGCACAGATTAATCAGGAACAGATATCCTGTTATTTTGAAAGATTCAGTTAGATACATTATTTTGTGACATGTACATCTCAGGAACTAGAATGCTGTTTTTAAATATAATGAACACTTCCCATAGATACTCAGGAATTACTTTCAAATATTAAAAATTAGTCTTTAATAATTTGATAAAACATTGCCAATGGTTCACAAATTGCAAAAGATTCATTTAAATGCGCTCCTAATGCAATTTCTGGTGAGATACACATGTATTAGAATGTTTCACATCTTACCGTGTGCGACTCCAGCTCAGAAATCTTCTCTGGGGAACCAGAGCCCAAGTAATAAACCCTGATCACGTGATCCGTGCTACCAGTTGCCAGTAACATTCCGCCTACAATTTCAATTCAAAAGTTTCAACAAAGCGCAATTCATTAAGCAAGGAGGATCTAGTCATTTTAGTTTATAATGAATATGGTGAACTTTCAAAGGGTGGTGGATTGGGACACACTTCCGAAAAACGACTGGCATAATGAGGATCACAAGGCACTCACTAAAAAATAAGAAACAATTTTGATCCATCATGACAGAACAATCAAAACATTAAAATACAAAATAGAATAGTGCTGAAGTACCAGATAATGAGGATGCTTTCCTCATTGATACCCAAGACAAGTTAATTTGGGGATTTAAGCACACAAGGGAAGTTCTCTTGTCTGTTTGGTGCAGAATCTGGTCTCTATAATAATAATCCTTGCATTTGGTAAAACGCCTTTCATGTTGGTAGGACGTCCCAAAGCACTTCACAGGATTTATTCTCTATTCAGTACTTCACCTAACTATCAACAGGGAGACACCTTGCCATCTGTATCAAATCTAGGAGCCCGGAATTTAAACTTTGATCTCCCTACACATGTCACAGTGCACCAAAATATCCCCAAAATTTCAAAGATTATTTATGCTACTTTATAAAATACGGTAGAACATTCAAAGAATACTACTTGGATAAAAGCACAAAGGCAAATTGTAACAAATTTACTTCACTGCAGTGGGAGGGGTAAAGGGAAAAAAAATCTCTAGACAAACATACCAGAACTGAAAGAGCAACACGAAATCTGACTGCCTGGTCTAGATCGCTCTGTAAATTTCACTGGGCACTCACTAAAAAATAAGAAACAATTTTGATCCATCATTACAGAACAATCAAAACATTACAATACAAAATAGAATAGTATTGCAGTTGTACTATAGCGCAGGTTTGAACTTTAGGAAGAACTTTATCGAGTTCTCTTATCTATTCTTTCCCACCCTAATGGATGGCAGCAGCTTTGTGAAATGGGCACACAAATGTTTCCTCAATTAATTCTGTGCCACATATGCAATTATAAGCTTTATTTCACTGTTCAAGAATCAACTTTTTCATTGCCAAGTCCCCAGCTGGCATAACCTAGTGACACAATTGGGTGCACTTGAATCTGATCATGCTTTTGTCTTCCTGATGCCATCATCATAAACAAAGTAGTAAGAAGCCCATCCAAATTCCTCTGTGGTGCCAGCCTATTGGGAACTGATGCCAGTCCAGTTCCCATGTCAAATGACAGGAATCTCTACCATTCTTGTTTTAATACAGTACTTCCAGTATTATTTTTATGCGCGCTAGCTTTGATTGTATGCATGAACACAGTAAGATAAGCAGAAAATTTTAAAAAATTGAATTTGATATTTATCTGAAGAAACCTACTTAAATTTTGTTGTGTCTGTCCTCCATTGCCAAAAGCAGATTGTCCCATCAGCTCCTGTGGATGTCAAATGTCGTGTTGTTCCTCTGGTCCCTGGGCAGAACTAAATTATATAAAATGGAATAGTATAAGACACTAAAACTACCATCATTCGCAATAACGTTTATGCAAATAAACTGGTGAATTTAGTTCCAAAACGTTGACCCAATCAGGAACCAACAGATCCTTGGGCATGGCCTGAAGTTACCAATTTTGGAAATTGCTCCCAACACACAAATTCTTGTTACAAAGTTCAGGTTTTATTTATTTCCAGCTAAGTTGATCCAATGTGGGTTTTGCTTCAGTTGCTTGCATATCCTAAATCCCATTTTTAAAGCAATTGGCCAAACAATGATAAAGTTGCTGCTAGCTTTGAAGACAACAATTACTTAAGACTATTTAAAACTCTTTACTTTTTAGTAAAAATTTAGAAGTGCAATATTCACTAGATATAAGATATGACATTTCAAATTATCAGCCATTACCAATAAAGAAGTTATAGACCCTGTATGTCCTTGCAATACAGCGACAGGAGCACATGTCCGTAAGCACCAAACACGGATCACTTTATCACAACTCCCTGCAGCAATCAGTGTGTTCTCATAGTTCACAGCCATATCGGAAATTTCAGCTGAATGCCCACGCAGAGTAGAGAGTAGTCGACCATCATCTGTGGCCCAGATCTTCACCAAGCAATCATCAGAACCCTAGAAACATGCAAATTCAGTACAAATGATACAGATATTTAAAGTAGTAGAATATGGTTTTGTAATTGATTAACTTGAAGCAAACGATTCAAGTATTTTACAGGCATAGTTATGATAAACTATTAACCATTTGCCTATTCACCAACAATGTCTATTTGAATAGAGGCTACTAATAAAATTCAACAATGGTTGCACACAACCAAAAGCAGTTTGTAATCGCACAAATCTATACTTTGATGATCACAAGATACAAATCTGAAGTTCAGCCACGGGCCATCACTTTACACCTTAAATTATGGAAAGAGTTTGTAACCTGGCAACTTCGACCCACCTGCCCCACCATTGGTGGGAAAGCCTTCAGCCACTCTGCCCCCAACCTTTGGAATTCCATCCCCTAATAACTCCGCCTCGCCCCCTCCTTAGCCCTCTTCAAGCCCCGCCTCAAGACCCTCCTCTTCGACCATGCCATCAGCCACCCCCCTTCTCCTCCCCGACCCCTACTCGGGTCTGAAATGCTGTACACTGTCCAACGCCTTGGGACATCCTCCCGACGTGAAAGACGCTATACAAGTGTAATCTTGTTGTTGTTTTAAAAGACATGACAGAATACTTCAATCAATATTTAGCATTATTACATTATAACCATAACCAGTCACAGCAATAGGTCAAAAGAACATCCAAACTAAAATACTGCACTAATAGGACTAAATAAAGGTAAAGGGTCAGGTTGCAATATATCTTCTGATTTACATGCATAAACAAAAAAAGAAAGAATTTTAAAAGTTAATGCCGCACTACACAATGGAAAGGTAATGTGTAATTCTTCAAAGAATATGAAAAACTTGCAAATGGAGAAAAGTTATGCTTTCATTTTTTTAAGAGTCAGGAATGAAAGTTAACTGGTAAGTCACACACCAAATGGAAATAAGCTAACTTCCCAATCACATTTCCGTTTATCAACTGGAGTTTTAATCATCTATTGGAACAACTTCAATATACTAGCATCTACTCTGAATAAATGCATATAGATATTCGTGATTCATTCCATAGTGACCCTTTTTTAAAACTAGATTTTGGAACAGGTTAAATCACTATAGTGAACCAAAAGATTAATGATCAATGAAATATCATTCACACCTATAAAATATATATTTGTTCGCTTTTAATCTATTTCTCACGCAACAAATGTTCTTCTCACCGTAAAAATTCTTCTCCCTGCACGGTCAAAAGCTATACAGTACACAGAGGAAAGATGTCCAAGTATTCTTCTGTACATTTTCACGTGCTGGTATGTGACAACAGGAAAAACATGGTTGAGCCGTCCACATCCCATCAGCTGCCTGGCACCAGTAATGTTCACTAAAACAGCAGGTAATTACAAATTGCAATGATGCATTAAACAGTGTTTGGAAATATTGATCTTCCTGAATAAAAGCAACACATTGCAACTATGTTATTTTATTTCCAATTAAGAGCTATCTAAAATCTGCAATAGAGCAACAAAATGAGTCATTCTTCAAAAAGAATCAGTCAAATTTGGGTAATTTGCTTGTGTTTTGAATCTGTTTTAGCTGATTCTTTATCATGCTTGGGACTTATCATGAAATCAAAAACAAAGCAAAAATGACAAATTTGTTTCTGACTCGGGCATACACTGCAGTCGTTAATAAAATTAGTTTCAAGATTGACTGCAAGGGTACATTAACCAAATTGGGTAAAACTAACCTATCATTTTTCCTCATCTGAATTAGATCCTATTACAATTGATCTGTAAATGTAAATTGAAGCCCTAACTTTGCTTCACATTTAAAAGTAGTACTATTTCCTCTTCCCTCCCCTTTATTGGATAACCACAAACTGTTTCCTTCGATGAATACTTTAAATTACCATAGGTACTTTAATTCTTCCTATTTTTAGATTTTGAAACTGAAATTTACAACTACAATTTACAAGTTTCACTTCCTTCTCTACTAGTGGCACCACTGTGCAGATAGTGACTATTCTCAGCAACACCACCAACAGGAACTTTGCAACACTACAACCCTTATTAGACTGACGACTTAATTCAGGTGCCATAATTTCAGATTTTTTCAGAAGTCCAGTTAATAATTCTTGCATTCGATATAGCGCCTTATCACTTCTTTGAGACGTCTCCAAGCGCCTACAGAATATATTGTTAAAATTAATGTGACTTCACTGCATTCAACTTACCAACATTTGGAGGTTTCCCATAGTTTATAGGTGGTTCTGGTGGTCTTCCTCGATGAAGGGCAGCAAAAGCAGAGCCTTTCCACACAACATACTTGCAATCTGCAACGAGCAAAGTTAATAGTGAAGCATTTAAACATGCGCTATAAATCTGCTGAAAAATGGTAGAGTAAAAGTTTGTAAATACAGGATTGTTTTTATTTAGCTACAAAGAGGGTGAATCAAGTCAGAAGCCTACTAATACTTTCAGTTTGACAAACCTGTGAAACGAAGACTGAAACAATCATGCCGTTGAGAACCAAGACAAACACGCTGCACAGAAGTGGCTTAAAAGATGACAGACAAAATAATGTATAGCTCACAAAAATGTCTGGAAATTGGTGCTGTTGAACTGTCTAGTTCTAGCACATTGCAAGGTACTTGCAAGGACGTCTCAAAACGCTTCACAGGATTTACTGCAAAGTACAGTGACTATATTTTGAAGGCCAAATCAGATAAATTACACAGCAATGTCCCATGAAATGAATGTACCTGAGGGATTGTTGGTCAGGACTCTGGGAGAAACTCCCACCTCCATGTAACCTTATTTAATTTTTTTAAAAATCCAGAGCACTAAAAAAAAACATTGGTCAACAAATAGCACAGATACCGGTTTATCCCAAGCACAAGAAGGACAATTTACAATAACTCAGCTTCTCTAAGATTTTTTTTTGTAAATCCTTTATAATCTGATAAATGTATTAGTGCAGCTTCAAAGTCTCTTCTAAAAAATAGCAATAAGGAAAACCATGTTTTGAATGCTTTACAATTGCAGAAAAGAAACTAGGCTGTACACAATCTCTCAGTGTAAAGAATTTCCATAAAATGCCAGTGCTTTAATTACCTTTTGCTGTTCGTAACAATGACTGTCGTGCGACTCCCAACAACGTCTGTACTCCAGGAACACTTGGTGGGAGTTCTTTATCCAAAAGGGGCCCAATTCGCTGACAGACGCGCAGCAAGTGATCTGAAGACACATGTTTATTGGCTAAAACCTAAACAAAATAAATTAATTATGTTGTCAGTTTGCAAGTATCTGCAAGCAGATTTTTTAAAATTCAGTTTAATGCAACATTTAGTCATTTCAATTGAATCCAGCTAGATTCAAACCATAGTGGAGTCCTGTAGCTCAGTGGTTAGAGCACTCGCTTTGCAAGCGAGAGACCCGAGTTCAATTCCAGGCACAGGGCGAAACCTTGGGCAAGTTTCCTTACTCCACACGCCTAATAATAATCCCTCCAAAATCAAAAACAATAATAAATTGGTCATTTTCAATCTACGACTGTTTGTGGGACATTGCTATGCGCAATTGGCTGCCGCGTTCGCCCACAAATATGCAGTCAATTCACTTTACAGTGTGTTCTGTGAAGCGCTTTGGGACGTCCTCCCGATGTGAAAAGCGCTATATCAAATGCAAGGATTATTATTATTATTATACAAAGCTTTCATTAAACACATACTGATTCTCTCAAGTATCTTACCCAAGGTATCTTAATACCATATTCTAATTGTTATCATGTTTACAATCCTTCAGATTGCTTTATAATGTCAGAAATGTTTTATAATGCCAGTGTCTTGTGCTACACCAGATTATATCTCATTATGGTGCTAAAATCTTGTGCTAAAAAGTGCCTCCCATTAATATTGCACATATCAAACTGAATGGGAATAAGGTCAAATTTATTTTGTGTCAGCTAAAATGTACAAAAATCAGATAGGAAATGCCAAACCTGGAAAATAATATGTTTTTAAATAAAAAACAATTGAACAATTTCTTTCAAAATCATGTTGTATATTAGCAAGCTGGAACACAGACCCAGCAGCAGAGTAAACCCATGGCCTCATCATATACTAAGCATAGAATTATAACTATAGCAGTCATTCACAACCTAATCAGGGTTGAATGGGTAACAGAAATTTTAATCCACGTGTTAAATCAGCAGGATCTAGATATGTTATGATCTCCAATGTCAGAGAGTAATTGTATTCATCAACCACATAATTCTATGATGAGGTGCAAAATCCTTATTGGTGATTAGGTAGGTCATCTTTTGTTCTTAAGTAATATAATTTATAACTGTTGCTCACATTTAGTGGTCATGATTTCTCAATACAAACCCAGTGGACCAACGCACAACCAGTTTGGATCTTATACACTACTAACTTAAAAATTAACTTGAAGAACCCTTACACTTACGCATATTGCTTTGTTAACAAAACAAAAAGCACAGGGTCCAGAGCAAATAAAAACAATATATTAACAGGAACAATAACAAATAAAGGTACCAGGATAGCCTGTTTCAGATTTACGTAAGAAAACCAGTCCCTTAAAACAGCACCTATTACAGTTACATTAAGAAAATGCAACCGGATGCTACCAACTTCAAATTCCAACTCATATTCCTGGGAGAAGGTGGATCTATCTGCAATAATAGATCAATCTTTAAATTGTATATTTTCCTGACAAAACTATCCTCCACTGTATTTCATAAAAGACTACCAACATATGTTTCTAACATTATCACTTTACCGTTGCTTGGGAGATTTTGACTGAAGCTTAAAAATTTTTTTTAGGAAATTTGTTGACATTTGTTAGAAAGTACAAGTCATTCTCGACTATTTCGCCATATGATGTTGCCTCTGAGCCAAGTAAATTTTCCTTAAAAAAGGACTCAATTAAAATGAATTAAATTTAAGATGTTCACGAATTCATCTCTCGCCTACCACCCTATGAAAGTATAATTTTTCAAAACTATCACCATAGCAGCCTAATTCCCAATTACTATACTATACTTTTTCAAAATACCAATGTTGATTTTTTGAAATATTAAACAACTGACTTTAGTTTGCTAAAATATTATTTATTTTGTTGATCAGATGTTAAGATGTGTGCTAGTTAAACGTAAGACATAGATGCCTTGTAAATCTAAAACAAAATCAATGTTTGCGAAATCGTCAATTTCACTCGCGATCACACAAAGTTATCGTTTCAGAAACAGCTATTGCTGGTCAAGTATAATAATAATCCTTGCATTTGATTTGGCGATTTTCACGTCTTCTAGACGTCTCAAAGCGCTTCACAGAAAGACTGTAAAGTGAATTGACTGTATATTTGTGGGCGAAATGCGGCAGCCACAAACAGCCGTGGATCAAAGTGACCAATTTATTATTGCTTTTTGTCTTGAGGGATTATCATCAGGCGTGTGGAGCAGGGAAACTTGCCCATGATTTCACCCCACGGGAATGGAACCCGGGTGTCTCGCTTGCCAGGCGAGCGCTCTAACCACTGAGCTACAGTGGGGGGGGCACACTTTCATGAACACCGTGGCTTACAAATTTTTAATTTCACGTCCAAAATAGCAATAGAAGGCTAAAACGCCGAACACAATGCCAATTCGAACAGATTGCGACTGGGGAGACCACTGGGGGGGGGGGGGGGGGGGGGGGGGAACGCTGCATTGAGAGGTGGTTAAGTTTTCTTTCAACCACTGAAACAACAGGAGGTTCTCAATAGCTCGGAAAACTGCGCGACAACAAGCAGCAGCGCAAAAAAAAAATAGGCGCAAGGTCAGACAAAAGCAACTGTTTTCACATGTAGATTGCAAAGTAACACCTGAAAGCTACAAACAATAGAGCGAGCGGTCTCTCCCTCCCTCTCCCTCTCTCTCCCCCTCTCCAGCTGCCCATTATGTGCGGCAGGAGATGCCAATGCTAATGAACGGGCAGACGTGCAAGACGGCAGCTTCCTGCATCAGCTGGCCGCCCCGGCAGCCAATGCGGTGACACGTTACATCGCTCTCCAGCCTGGCAGCAGGTGGAAGGCGACTTCCTATTGGAGGACCGACGGCCCAGGCGAGCCATCGCTTGCCTTTGCGACGTAACCTTGCCCTCCCCCACCCCCACCCCATCACCACCAACCACCCCCCCCCCACCCCGACCGTGACTGTCACAGCAAAGCTTTTATCTTTAAAAAAAATTCTCCAAAACAGCCCCCACACCCTGCAACGATTTTCTCTCAAATCTTTTCAGGCCACGGGTTGTGTAACCCACAAGCAGCTGTTTGTACGTATGTACGTATGTATTTTTCTGTGTGTTGTTGTGACTACGGTCGAGTAAGAGCGATTTACACCAAAGGCTTCCCTCCCCCCCCCCACCACCCATCCACCCCTCTCTCTCTCTCCAAAAAGAAAAGAAGCGACCGCAATTTGGCTCGATTTTTGCGGGAGATTCAATTCGTCTGAAAAGAAAGTTCGAGGAAGACTCGTCGAGACATAAATATGTGTATATATGTGTCTAATACACACACATGTACGTGTACAAAAATAATACCAACTCACCAGGTTAGCGAAGCTCCGGCGATGGTCTTTCCCTTCCCAGTCCAACCGCTTCGGAATCAGCTGAAACGATGGGGTGGGTGTGGGAGGGAGGGAGGGAGGGGGAAGAGATGAACAATATATACATACACACACACATATATATATATATATACATATAATATTTTTGGGGTCGTAAGTAGATCATCAGAAATCATTTCGCAGATAAATTAACCCGTTTTCTCGAGAGAAAGAGAGAGAGAGAGAGAGAAACAAGAGACGTGAGGGGGTGGGGGGATAGGGTCGAGTGGTCAGTACCTGGTGCTCCTCCAGCTCTTGGATCAGGACCTGGAGGACAATGAACAACAACAACAACAAAAAGAAAACAGGTATAAATATTAACCGAGTGAGTTGAGAGGTTCAATAAAGGCGGCGGTGACGGTAACGGCGGTGGTATTCACACACACATATATATATATAATATATATATATATTGACTCACCTGCGCCGACTTTTGACAGGGTCCGGATAGGAGAAAGCGAGCGATCAAGTAGTACAGCTCTGAACAGAGAGAGAGAGAGGAGTCAGTTTGGTAAAGGCTTTAAATTAATGAGGAAGATTGTCTGTCAGGAACTGGAGGTGACGGGGGGGGGGAGTAGGAGGGTTAAAAAAAAATTATATATTTAAAAAAAAGCTACTCACCGCACTCGAGTTGAGAGACTTTCCCTGAGTCTCCGCTCTTATCCGACATGTTCTTCGTCGTCAGCGGCGGTGAGGGGCGGTTTGCTGTCTGTCTCCGGGCCGCACACAACGCGCTTCAATCAATCGCCATTCAGGGCGAAGCAGCCGCATCACCGCCCGGCCCAGCCCAGGCCAGCACGGCCTCCCCCGCCCCCACGCCAACCAGGCGCCGGGTCCTTCCGCCGGCTCCAAGTAATCCCCCGCCACCCGGCTCTGGGTCGGCTCTGGCGGGGTCGCCCGCTGCTCTGACCGCCCGCCCCGCCGGTGTTCAACTCCCACGCGAGGGGATTAAAAGGCCCAAATAGGTGTCGGGGATTCGGCCCCGTTGTTACGATTCGCCGGGCTGGCGGAGGGATACGTTCGTTTTCAGCCTTTCTTCTCTACCGGAGTCTACCAAACGTGCTGGTGGAGGAGCTGGGCTTGATTGACGCGCCGCTTGGCCAATCGGGAGCGGAGCAGCGGGTTTTAAACGGGTCGACCGGTGCACTCGGGCCAATGGGTGAGCAGAGGGTGGGCGGGACTCGTGCTCTTTAACGTTAGGTTGTGCGGCGGCAGGGAAGCGCGGAGTAATGGCGGCCCGAGAGCGACTGGAGCCGCGGCATTGTCCCCGTGTCTCTCCCGATCGATATCCGCCACCAAACGTCTTCCCGCTTTGCTTGACTGAGAAATGAGGCGCTCGTCCCGTAGCCGGGCGGGTTAGGGCTCTCGTTCCTTACACGAGGTTGGGGTAGGAACGAGTGCGCTGTGTTGGGGTCGGTGCTCAGACAGAAGGGCTTTCGGTGTTGTGTTGGCAGCTGTTCCTCGGGTCAATGGCCATCGCTGTCCGGCCTCAACGTCCTCCAGCTGCCGTGTTTGAGGCCTTAAAAAGCACCCTGTGCAGACAGGAGTTTATTCCACTCTTGTCAAGCCCCGGTATGTGACAGGGCGTCCCTGATTTTTTTTCTCTCTCTGACTTTTTTTTCTCTCTCCCCCCCCCATTTCTGTTGCAGACCAGTCGAGTGTATAACGACGTCAGGCGCCAGTCACTACACCCGTCGTCGAGGAACCGTGGTTCCTCCTTCAGCGTCTTGGGACGTCCTCCCGACGCGAAAGGGCAAAGGCGCTCTCTATACGTGTAATTTTGTTGTCGTCGGCGTCGTCGCGGTGAGTACGTGGGTCTCCACGAACGACCGACCGCGGACGGGAAAGGCGATGGAAAATGCGCGTCGTGATTTTAAGGAACGGTTCCAAAAAATTGGCACACTCTTCCCCCCCCCCCCCCCAAAAAAAAAAAATTCCTCTGTTAAGGTGGAAGAAAAAAACTCTACAGGAGGTGTGAGAGATGGTGATCGGACAGGCAGACCACCTACAAGACATGAACGGTGTGCTACGGTTGCTGAGTCCATTCAGAGTTGCCCCTGAGATGTCAATCCGTAAACTCTCTTCAGAACTGGGTATCCCAGGATCGGTGTCACACCAAGCATATGGAGCTGGATCTGAAGATGTAGATGTCGGGAAAAGAACATATTTTAGTGTCTTATTAGAAGGGTTTGAGATGCAACTCGAGCCAGTGAGACGATCAGAAATCTGTTATGTGCAAGAAACCAGCGTTTTTTTAAAAAAAAGTGGCATAAGTTTGATTATGAATAAGCATTTGCAATTCAAGTCATAATTTTAAGTTCCTCTGCAGAGTTTATCATAGTCCTCTGTTTTGCTTCCCTGCTATCGTGCAACTCTGCTTATCGGTATACATAGGTTACAGAGAAAGCCATTGAACTTTTTGTACAATCCAGACCATAAATATAGATTGTTCTTTAGTTCTGGAATTTTGCTTTATTATACTGCTGCATTTTCAGTTTAATCCAAAGGTATTGTGTGGTCTTATTTATCCTGAAATTGTACAGTATGCTTTATTAAAGAATTTTGCTATACAGTCAGTTATTCCTATAACATTCTTTCTCTTTCACTGTTTATAGGGGCTGTGGGTCCTTTGTCTTCTCTCTTCCATTTTGCACCCTTTGGCACATTATATGCATAACTAAAGGTCTAAGCAGCAAAGATTTTTTTGTTGGTCTTCCTTGCTGGTATTCAGTCCTGATTTTTTTTGGCATCAGCCAGGCACCCGACATATGTGAAAACCCACCAGAGTGCTTAAGAGTATTGAAACCAAACAGTTCCATGCATCTCACCTACATATGAAGTAGATTGTAAGAATGGCATGTGCTCACTCTCCCTGGAGAGATGCATCCTTTTTGTTTAATTCCAGAAACTATTAGGTGCATGTTGGCAAGAGCCAAGGCTTGGGGATCCCAGACTGTGCATTGGGGTACTGCAGGAGTCTTAACTAATTAAAACAGCATAGCTCGCCCTTGATAGCATTGTGGTAAGTTTTCCTGATGCTTGTCCTGCTATGATTACCCTACTTGTCAGAGCTTTAGTTTGCAGGGTTAACAGGAGCTGAGTGGAAGGATACCTGACCTCAGTAACTGCTGTGCCTTCCGAGTCCTGCCAATCAGCTGGGCTGGCTATGGTGTCATCAGCAGTGCCCTGGAATATCGTGGACTCGCCCGCCTCAGGAACCGCATTACAGAGACCACCACAGAGGGATGGCTCAATTATGACATTCCATTGCCAAGAATATCACCTTGCTGCCAGTTCAGCTCTGCAATTACATATTTTACTTATTGATCTTAATATCACAAAGTATTGAAACAATTCTGTAGGTCTTTGCTTTCTTGTTCCAAACTTCTGTCTGTGGTGATGTTTTGTCCAGAGCATCTTTTCTGCATAATAATCACTATCTCATCCAATGGTATGTTCAAATCCTTTTCCAAAGTTGCAAAGTACTCTTGCTTCCTCACCTGCTACATTCAGAAACAGCTGACTGCTGTATTTGTGGTTGTTGCATCAAAGTTGAGGCTATCGCAAATATTTAAAAATCTCGCTTGAACTGTTGCCAGTTATGACTTAAATTGCCTATTAACTTCAATGGTCGCAGTATTTACACATCCATTTCTGTGCTCCCAAACTCATTTAGTCTATCTGTGCTTAATTTCATAGCTGTTCCAATCCAAGTTTGATTTTTTTTTACTTCTGACACTGTTTTTCTAGCCACATCTTGTATTAGTAAATCCTTCATTCTCAGCTCACAATTCTCCAACCATAATCTCCCAGTCCTTTGATCCTACTTCCAATATCCTTTTATACAACTCTTCATCTGATTGCCTCTTTCTTAATTGCCATTTACTTCAAGCAATATCCTATACACCCTGGTCTACAGAAACAATTTGATCATAATTATTTGTTTTCAGAATGTTCTAAATCTTTACTCAATTTTAATTTCACTTGTTTGAAAAGAGAAGGAAATTGGCCAATAATCTTCTGGCCAACAACCTTATAGGTAAATTAGTCATTCATCATCTGGCTATAATGTTGCAATTTGTCTGCTATGTTTGCCTACAAATACCATTGCAGAAAACTAGCATTTTGCCATATCAATGTGAGAAGACCCTGTAGATATTTAGCAAGGATGTTCCATTTTAAGCTGGATAACCAAGGATGGATCACAATTCATTCCTTGATCAGGAACTAATTTAAGTCCATTTCTGCCGTTTTTTGCAAAATTAGCTCCTGGAGGATCAGACTGATGTTACTGAGCGTAATGAAAAGCTGACCTTAATAAGAAGATTAAGAAAAAAGAATATATGATTTTACAAGAGTTATCGCATCTTTAACTGTATAAAACCATAAGAAAACATACCTCTGACTCAAGAATGAGCAATTGGGAGGCATACATGTTGAGAGTAAGCCCTTGCCTAGGATCTTCCTCAGATAAACATTAAAGGTGACATGCTCGCAGTACAGTAAAATCACTGTTCACTTTGAGGTTATATCAATGGGAACGTGCTATTCAGAGGTTATAATGTTCAGAAATGAAAAGTGAGAGCCCAGGCAGTTAATTAACTAGAACTTGGTAACATGCAATAGGTCAAAATAGACAAAATAATTCTGCAAAAATTATATCTATGCTTACAATCACTGGTTATGCATATATGTAAATGGACAAGGTTCTGGGAGAACTTGCAAACAGCAGGTTAGCAAAAATGGTGCAGAATACCATTGAATTCAGAATCGTTAATAAGAGTTTTCAATGCCATTTTAGTCTTCCAATGTACCTTTTGGATAGGTCCATTAGAGAGCGCACAATAACAGTCTTTAAAGCCACCAGAATGCAAGCATATGGCTGTTAGAGGAATAAAACTGGATATGGTGACACACAGTTGCAGGTAATATAAGGCACCTTGAGCAGGTAACTAATCCTATGCATGAACTCTGCTGACCTAGGTCACATTTGCCAGGACAAGTCATTCCCCAGAATGGACTTTTTTCTGAACCGATCAGGTATTGACAAATACATGACATCCTCCATCTTACCTATATCTGTGAAGTGGACAAAGGCGAGGACCAGAATTAATTATGTATTTTTTAAAAAATGCATAATGATTACATTTTGACCTTTGTGAGGTAAAATGGTCAACAAACCATTAGGCGGCAGAATAGGAGAGTATGTGCCTAAATATGTTGAGTTGTTCTCAAATTTCCTAATTTATAAAAATCCTGGGTCTATTTACATTTCTGAATCTTCATAATCATAGATTTATTGTATAATTCAGTCTTCCCAGTGAATTTCACAAACACTAGTTTATTTAATGCCTGCTTCCTGTCAGAGTTCAGATTATTCCAAGTTCGGAGAAAAACTGGGTTGCAATTGAACCTGGATATTTTTCCAAAGAGAAAGTTATTGCCCCGGAGCAAAGATGGCATGAGTTAGTTGATTTAAATTACTTAGAATAGATGAAGGACAGCAGATGTAGAGAGAGTTACCAGCAACTTGAAAATAGTTCGGAAACAAACAAACCAATAGAAAAGTTGTGAATGTTTGGAATGGATCCAACACAATGCCGTTCACCTTGTGTTGATCAACATGTTCAGAGAACGAGCTCTTTTCAATATGTTGGTTAGGGATGGATTGAGGGCCTTAAGAGTTGATCTATTTGAATGTTGTGGGACATAATGACTGAGGCTATGGAAATGGAATGCCAAGGAGCTGCTGCTCCAGAAGCATAATGTGAAATCCATGTTCATGTAATTAGCTCAGAAATTTATTTTTTCTTTGGAGGACAGGAGATCTTGCAAAGATTAAATGGATGGGTAAAGTATGTTAAGGAACCAATATGGTGCCCAAATTGCCTTTTCTCTTGCAGTGCAATCCAATGATACCAATCAACTCAAAATGTTGTGTTTTAAATGTGATTCAAGATTCATTCTGATTTAACCTGGATGTTTGACAGAGAACCTGCAGTATGAATGGGGGCTGGTGCAGTGCAAATCCTGCTCTGAGTGATTTTAAAATCAGCACTTTCTTTCCTATTTAGTGTAGTCTTCTCCCTCCCAACTCAGGCTCCTGCTCAGTCTTTGTGAAGGACTGTGAGACAATAACAACTTGCCTTTATATAGTTTCTTCAAATAGAATAACATCTCTGAGTGCTTCACAAGGATAGGGTTGTGTGCCAAGAAATGGAGAAGGGGGTGCAGTTAAACAAGTAGTTTTTCTAGGTGGAATTTAAATCCAGAGGTTAGGGATATAACTGAAGGTTCGGCCATTGATAGATGAGGAATATGTGCAGCGGGCCTGAATTGGCTGAGCGGAGAAACAAATAGAAGAGTGGGGTTCGACACGATAACAAAGATATGGAGGTGCTAGGGTCTGAAGCAATTTATAGGTGACGCGCAATTTAAATACAGAGGTTAGGGGTATAATCGCTGAAGGTTCTGCCATTGATAGATGAGGATAGAGTACCAAGAATCATTTATGTTATTTGGTACAAGAAAGGTATCACAAAGATAGGCCAGCAAGTTCACAAACATTAACTGTTCCATATCACACAACCTATTGTGTTACAAATCTGATCCAATCTTCAGAGCACCAATTATGCTCAGTAGCTAAATCCCAATGACTTTAAAAAAAAGCAACATTCCTTCTCTCCACCTAACATATCAAATGCCCCAAAAGGCAACGTAAGTTGTCCCCTCCTTGTGTTCCCAACTTGGTCAGTGATGCCCTTAACTGGATTTAAAAGTCATTAAATGATGTGTGTTTTTGTTGGCTAATCATCTTAATGTTTCTCATTTTTTAAAAATGAGTGACAATGCATCCTGATGCATTTACCTATGCAGTGACTGAAGAGTAACAAATTACAGCATGTGATGAACACAACCTCCTGCAGGAGGCATAAAAGCACCAGAATGTTCCACTAAATTGAGCTTTGCCATGTATTGAGAAATGCAGTAGCTCCAAAAAGGCTAAATAAATATTTTTACTGTATTGTGCTCAATGCTAATTCAAGTAAACAAGCTGCTGGAACTGATACATTTTTGCATAAACAAATTGGTACAAACAGTATTCAGAAAATTCTCCTAAATAATGAAACTACAAAGCACCATATGTGTATCATATTGCTATCTGGTTGTGATTCAGCCAGTGCTTGATGTCTCAAGAGTATGACCATTAATTTCAATTATTATAGGATGTAATTGTCCCCACTTTCGGATGAGATATTTGGATTATTTATCTATTGCTACATTAATGACAATTACAGTTCAAAGCTCATGTCATGCCAGTCTCAACTCATCTTGTGTATTTCCCCAATTTCCAAACAGCCTTATAAATAAAAATGGAGTCTTTCTTGTGCTGCTTAGCAAATGGGATTTATTTTCATTATGTGAAATGCACTGACAAGGATATGTTGGTTCCTATAATTCTACTGTATTGAGATTCACAGTTAATGGAGTGTACACCCAATTTTGCATTGTTTTCTACATGGGTCATTTAGCTTAAAGCCCTATTAATGAACTGCACTGTAGTCCCACAAACAAA